TTGGAATAGGCTGCCCAGGGAGGTGGTTGAGTCACCATCCCTGGATGTGTTTAAGAGTCATTTAGATGTGGTGTTGGGGGATATGGTGTAGGGGAGAACTTTGTAGAGTAGGGTAGATGGTTGAACTCAATGATCCCAAGGGTCTCTTCCAACCTAGAGGATTCTATGATGGTTCTATGATGAAATCAATTGCAGTTTATATTCCTGCACCTCCTGTCATATGTAGTAATGGCTCCGCTGTTACAGTGGCAGCTCATCACAGTGAGCAATGTGGCAGTGCCCCGGTGTGGTGGAAATGGAGCTGGTCTCTAATAATGGTATGAATATGGTGATGCCATTGCTTTTATTGGTGACCAGACCAGGGCAGAAGGCTATTGATTAAGCTTCTGTTGGGGCTGGAGAGAGAACAAACGAAAAAGTGATACAACAGCTCCCAGGCTGGAAAGCAGGGGGCAAAATCATCAGGTATAAAGATCTGTCCCCAGAGAAATCACAAATGTGTTTCATCAAGTTATGAACTGGCAAGCAAGAGACAACAGCAAGCCCTGTGGGAAGAGGGGTGGAATGGTGGAATTGTGCTTGACCAAAGCTGTCTGAAGAAAACATTAATAAAACAGGAGAGAAAAGGAGAGACTTCTTGGTGGCAGGTAATAATATACCTTGTGTGTATAATATGACTTGTATATGTTATTTACACCTGGTTTTTAGTGTTTTCAAGTTATGTTGTTTTTCAAAACCTTTTCAGTTTAGTTAGTGAAGTTTTGCTTTAGGCAGGGCACTGAACTGCTGACCCACTGTCACCTGGGCAGTCCCTGGCCAGGGCTGCAGGTCAGGGAGTGCTTCAGGAACCACAGCCTGCTGCTCCCGGTGTCTCTCACCATGGGAGGTGGAGGATACCTGTGGGTGCCAGGGGGGTGAGCTCAAGAAGCCATGAGAAGCACACCAGGGATATACACTCTCCAGTGAAAAAGAGATTTGCAAATGGTAGCTCACATGATTAGTGCCACGATTATTAGTTTGGCAACAGCAGGTTGGTGGACATAACCTGTTCTCCCTCAGTCTGTAGATGCACATCTGTCCTGAATCTTTTCCATGCAGGCAGGCTCCCATCTAGGAGGAATTTGAAGGCTTCTCCCATGTATAGGAAGATGAAGTGTCTGTTACTCTTCATGTGGTAATTTGCTGCTCCCAGATTAGGAAAAGATACATCAGAAGACCTTTATTCGTTCCTAAGTTTTTGCTAGCTACGTGTCTCTTTTTCTTGGAAATATTCTATGTTTTATGCTTAACTTAGGGCCACCACTGCTCTGTGCCCGTCCTGCAGCATCCTTCCCACCTTTGCTTCTGGGGCATCTCCTTCTTCCTTCTCTAGCTTGCCATTTTTCAGAGAGGGAGCCTGTCACAGGGCCATTTAAACAGGATTCTGTCTACCTGTGTTGCCCCTTCAATTTCAGCCTGTTCTCTGCCTTTTAGCAACACCTAACTGAAGGTTAGATGTCCCAAAGGTATTGATGCTTTAGTAGCTTTCATGAAAATAGGCAGCTGGGTTGAGGAGGATCTCTCCAGTGCTTTCCCAAGAGAAAGGACAGAGTGCAGACTTTTTCTTGCTAATCAGAGAATCTATAAAAACAAAAATTCCTAAAAAACCAAGCCTTGATAGTGCGGCTGCTCAGGGGACCACTTTTTTCAAGGAAGCAATCAAGGCTGAATTTCACTCCACATGCTGATACTGTTTACCGAATAATGTTAATCAGGAATAGCATTTTCAGTGTTACTGTTCTAATAAAGGTCCCACTGTCCTTGTACCTCCTGCTCTGCACCAGGTGAGCATTTTGACTGAGCAGTTTGTGGTGATATCTTTCAAGTCACTGGCCTCAAATGATCCCATGAGCCTGGCTCATCAGTATGGATAACAAATTTACCTTACATATATCTGGGTCAAATTTAATCTGCCACAGCACCACTCAATTTCCCAGTTGATTTCTGTCTCTCAACATCTTCTTAAAGTGCAATTTTTTTTTTTTTTAATTGAATGCCATTTGCAAAAATTTACCAGCTTGCTGTGAGTTTTCTTCTTCATTCTTTCTCCTTCTCTCTTCACCTAATATATGAAACTATTGGTCCCTCTACACATCCCTGGGAGAATCTAATCTTATTGATATTAGGGGTAGATATTTGCCATACTGCATGAACATTAACATTAAGACACTCCCTCTGGGGACACGTATTCATTGCAGGTCTGGCCTCGTAGACCGGGAAATGCAAAAGCAAGACAGAGTGATGTTCTCAGTAGCTTAAAAGAGCCCAGTTCCCATAAAAGCCTGTTGTCTGCCATGGAGGTGTTCTGCAGCTCTCTATTTCTGCTCTTCACAGATCAGCTGCCCAAGGCTCAGGTCAGGTCACCTAATATCAAATTCTTCCTCAGTATCCTGACACATGGTGATGCGGCTCCCCCAAATGAAGCTTGTGGTCATTTAGATTAGGTAAAACAAAGGGGTTTACTGCTCTGTGCCACATAATTTTGCTAAGCTTTTTGACACCATGATCTCCTCTTTGTTTTCATCTGATGCTAAGTCACCTGATTTTGCTTTCTCACCAAGGAAAAATGTCCTATACTTCCTTGTTAGTTTAACAATATGGTGAAGAGGTGGATCAGAGTGGCTGCGGATGTTTCTGTAATGAAAGGGCCAAAGGCTGGCCAGCAGATGGGCACACCATAGGGGTGAATGAACAATTGGACAGACTGTCATCCCAGCCACTGATCCTACATGAACCTGGGTTTTGTCTGTTAAATAGTCATACTGCTTTGAAGAAAACTTCTACCTGCTCACTTTACTTTTTCCTCCCCCCCGAAGCAGCATTAGAAAATCAGCTGACTGTTTAAAAAACAAACAAAGAAACAAAAAAAGCCTACCAGAAAGCCCCAAACAAACCAAAAGGCATCATGTCTGTCCTAAAATCCTGTAAGATGTCCTCAGATTTTCAGGAGGGGTGATGGAACTGAACTGCTTTCTGACCTGGCCAAATACCAGACTGAAAACAGTACGTAGCAGAACTCAGGCAAGGGAAGAAGTGTCACAGCACTTGCTGGGCAGCTAGGAGGGAAAGGGTCTATGAGGTGTCTGCAGGTAATGAGCTGGTTGGGCTGAGAAGTAGGAGAGGAAAAGATGGAGTGGGTAATTAGAAAGAGAAAGGAGAGAAAAAGGATCCCTGCAAAGATTTAGATGGGTCAGATAAACAGTGAGATGTCAGGGACTGGATGAAACATTTGAAATGCAGGCTTCATTAATATTTTGTCTGTCTTATCTCAGACTAATTTATTTTATGGATGTGGAAATCTGTTCCTGCTGATGTATCGAGATGACTCTCAACATTTCTTGAGGCCCTGTGCTGGTTTTCTACATTTCCCTATGTTTGAAGACATGAATCACCATGTCACTATTATTTCTATGTTATCTATCAGGAAGTTTCCAGGTGATTTTTTCTTCCCTCCAGCAGCTATCGCAGAACCACAGAATCACAGACTCACAGAACGGTAGGTGGTGGAAGGGACCTTCAGAGATCCTCTAGTCCAAGTCTCCTGCCAAAGCAGGTTCACCTTCAGCAGGTTGCACAGGATCAAGTCCAGAAGGGCTTTGAATACCTTCAGAGAAGGAGACTCCACAACCTCTCTATTCCAGTGCTCTGCCACACTCAAAGTAAAGAATTTTTTCTTTATATTCAAATGGAATTTCCTGTGGTTTAGCTTGTGACCATTGCCCCTTGTGTTGTCACTGGGCATCACTTAGAAGAGACTGACCCCATCCTTTTGACACCTTTTACATATTTATAAGCATTGATGAGATCCCTTCTCAGTCTTCTCTTCTCCAGGCTAAACAGACACAGGTCTTTCACCCTTTCCTCATAAGAGAAGTGCTCCCCTCCCTGGTCATCTTTGTAGACCTCCGCTGGACCCTCTTGGGTAGTTACTTGTCTTTCTTGAACTGGGGTCTTCAGAACTGGACACGGTACTCCAGATGTGGCCTCACCAGGGCAGAGTAGAGGGGGAGGATGGCCTCCCTTGACCTGATGACCACACTCTTTTTAGTGCACCGCAGAAGATCATTGGCCTACTTGGCCACAAAGGCACATTGCTGCCTCATGGCCAACTTGTCCAGCAGCAGTCCCAGGTTCTTCTCCGCAAAGCTGCTCTCTGGCATGTCAGCCCCTAACCTGTACTGGTGCATGGGGATGACCACACTCTTTTTAGTGCACCGCAGAAGATCATTGGCCTACTTGGCCACAAAGGCACATTGCTGCCTCATGGCCAACTTGTCCAGCAGCAGTCCCAGGTTCTTCTCCGCAAAGCTGCTCTCTGGCATGTCAGCCCCTAACCTGTACTGGTGCATGGGGTTATTCCTCCCCAGGTGCAGGACCCTACACTTGCCCTTTTGAACTTCATTGGGTTTCTTTCTGCCCAACTCTCCAGCTTTTCCAGGTCTCACTGTATCACAGCACAGCCTTCTGGTGTGTCAGCCACCCCTCCCAGTTTTTTGTCACCAAAAAACTTGCTGTTGTGCCAGTTGCCTCTAGAAAAAGGCTAGAAGTTGTGGACAAGAGACTAGAGAGTAACCAGGGGGCAAACATGCATCTGCTCTCCAAACATGTTACTCCTGAGCACATAGTACAGAGCAAATAACAGATTAAATTAATTTGGCTTTTATTCTTTTTGCTTTCACCTATAAGCTACCAAAAAAAAAGATTTACGGTTTGCTCAACAAACAAAAAAGTGCCATTAAGTTCCAGAGAGCGTAAAGGTCAGGAGGTTAGTGCTGTTACTGCAGTGGCAACCTGTCCCTCCAACATAGCTGCCCCAAGAAGAGGGAGTCTCCAAGGGGAAACCATGCCGCCCCTGCTCTGGCTTAATCCTTGCTGTCAACACCACAGAAAGCAAAGTTTTTCCAGCTGAGGGTAGGGTTTATGTGGGGAAGCTGCAGGTACACACAGGACAACCAAGAGAGATGTTTTATGTGACAGGTATTTATTGGTCGTAAGAAATAAAATCCGTTGCTTAGAAAGCATACAGGCTTCTGGCTGATAATGCTGCACTTGCCTGATCACCCACTTGCTACCCAGCCCTTTGTCCTGTTGGCATCTGAGAACAGTCAGAAGGGATTGGGCTGCCAGGACAACTTGCAAGATACACCACATGAGCAAAGATGTTGCTGTCTGACTACACCGGGCAGCAAGGTGGCTGTGCAAGGAAAGAGTGTAAGAGACTTCTTTTATTCAGGAGCAGTCTTGGGGGACCACATGCGCGGTGTCTCTGTTCCTGTGAGGATGCACTTTCCCTGTAGCTGCCTTTGCTCTGTGGGCAACAGTCTGTCGGCAAACTGGTCTTGGCACAAACATAAATGCATGTGACAAATGCAACTGAGTCACCTGCGCTTACAGATGCAGCTCATGACAACATAAAATGGCGTTTTTTCATGGACAGGTTCTGTGTAAGAGAAGCTAGAAGCATACAAGTCACCTCATTACTTTAAGCTGGCTTTACTATTAATGCACACTGTTTTGACCTTTAAGAGCTTCAGACTCAAGGACAGGTTCAATGCCATGCACAATGTTTGCTCAACTGAATAAGGCACAGTAGGAAGAAGTTACTGTATTAAAAGAGAAGAATCATACCTCTTTGTAAAGCTTAATTTAGTTCTTTTTTAAATCTAAATCTGCTCAGTGCATATGCTTGTATGTGCATATGCTATGTATATGCTTGTGTGGCTTTAAGAAAAATGTATTAGCAATGTCAGACACCGTAATCCATCACTAACTATAAATGCTACTTTGGCAATTGCACTTCAGTGGTATTTTTTAATTCTGATGAAAATGTGAAGTAAGCTAGCCAGCGCTAAGTTCGGGCCTAAACATGAGCCCTGTCATGGTGTGCAGCAGTGAGTGAGCTCTGCCCAACACAGGTCTCCGATGTGGACCCCATGCACACAGGCTCACCAGCCCCGGTGGACTTCACGGCAGAGCTTTCTTTCGGGAGAGCAAGGTTGGAAGGATGTCCATGCCCAAGAGTTGGCACATGTTGACTTACCCCATGGCAGCAAGCAAAATGAACCGTAACGTATCTTATTCACTTTGTGTGTCGCAGGGCCTTATGCTGACCAGGGTGAGAGTCTCCCCCCGGCATTTCAGCCGCCCGGCCTCGCACTCCGTCATGGTCTGGCGGGCAGCAGAGCCGCTCACTTCAGCACAGATCTGGATCCCTCCCTCCTCGCATGGTCCATCCTCCTCACAAATACAGCTGCCGGATTCCGCTGAGCGAAAGCACAAAGGAAAAACACTCAGGGTGGCACCCAACCCAATGAAAACAAGGCAAAAGTGTTCCCACCAAAACCCATTGGATTGACAGCAATTTTCTGGAGGGTGCTCAGCACAAGAAAGACATGGACCTGTTGGAGTGGGTCCAGAGGAGGGAGAGAAAAATTGTCGGGGGGATGGAACACCTCTGCTATGAGAGTTGGAGTTGATCAGTCTGGAGAAGAGAAGGCTGCAGAGAAACTTATTATGGCCTTTCAGAAAGGAGCTTATAAGATGGGGACAGGGTACTTAGCAGGGCCTGTTGTGACAGGACAAGGAGTAATGGTTTTAAAGTAAAAGAAGATAGAGTCAGACTAGGCATAAGGAAGAAATTTTTTACAATGAGGGTGATGAAACACTGGACCAGGTTGCCCAGAGGGGTGGCAGACGCCCCATCCCTGGAAACATGGATGGGGCTCTGAGCAACCTGATCTAGTTGTAGATGTCTCTCCTCATTGCCAGGGGGCCTGGACTACATGACCTTTAAAGGTCCCTTCCAACCCACACCATTCAATGATTCAATGACTTTGTGATTCTATGATTCTATGACTGAGTCTTTTCTTAACCAGAAGTAACATTAGCTGATGTTCAGGCTCAGCAGAAAAACTAGAAATGGAAACTGGGGGCCACCGCTGGGGCTCCCTCTGGTTGGAAAGGCTGGTTGTACTTATAGGAAAAGCTTGATCAAGGTGCCTGAGACATTGTTCTCAAAGACTTCTCTGATGTTACTGCTTGAACGGGTTCAGGTATGTACTGCTCCACAGTCCAGAAAACAGATGAGGGATCTGTCTTTGGACAGTAAGAAACTGATCATGGGATCTTACAACTGGTATCTTTATTTACATACAGGCAGTTTCACTAAGATTACTACTCCTATAAAGTAAATGAACATACTTGTATTAGTGACAACAGCTAAATAACCAGATAAGAAGGAGGCCACATCTGAGATGTATTTTTCATAACTGTGTCTTTGTCTTGGTGCCCTGTGTTTGTTTTGTTTTGCCTGTATTTGTCTCTCCTGAAGCTCCAGCCAGTTTTGATTATCTTTTTTTCGTTATTATTTTTGTCTGTTCAGCCCTGTTAGACAAAACAGATGAACTCCTATCAAGTAATCTTTTTTATTTTCAAAATATGACAATAACAGTGCCTCTATCTGTGGCACTTCTAAAAACCTAATTTACTCCTTTATCTTCCCATTTCTGGCAACCCTCCATTAAATGCAATGTAGTATAGGACACTGAGAGAAATTAGATCAGGGAATTTGAAAACTTCCAGTGCAGACAGATTGCAAATGACTGGGACTATTTCCTCTGAGGGAAAAAACACTCACCTTTGATCATAATATGAGAAACTCGGGATAGGCAGTGAAGTACAAACAAAAGTAAGTGGTTTTCCTAGATAGTATAGAATAAGACATTCAAGATAGTATTTCCTAGATAGTATAGAATAAGACATTCAATTCCTTGCCACAAAATACTGCTGGGAAGACTGCTCAGCAAATTTCAGGAAAGGATTAGCTACTCCTGTTGGCAGTAAGGACCACCACGGTTACCATGTTAAGGAATTTAAAACAAATAGATATAGTGAAAAAAGAGTAGGGCAAGGGGCTGCCCAAAAAATTCCAGAGGACTAACAGGGTAATCTTCTTAACAGGCACTAGGAATAAGCTTTTTCTGTGGATAGTGCATTTTGTTACGATACTTTGGGGGTTCTTTTCTATGATTTTTTCCTGCCATGTTTGGACACCAAACACTGGGTTGATGGTTTTAACCAGCTTAGCAGTGCCTGGTGCTTCTGGTAGGGATTGGAGATACCACCCCAGGACAGACCTACCATTAATGTGTGATTGGGGATAAAGACTCAATTTCAGCATATAAACAATCTTGCTTAAATTACAAAAAATCTCTTACCATCACATTTTTCCCATGAACGACAAGATCCACATGATATTTCAGCTGCCTGACGTATTTTGCAGTTTTCTGCATTAGTAAGAGAATATTTTCTGCCCATGCACTCCAAGGCATGCATCTTGCAAACTGTTAAAGCTGTGTTTCTCTTGGTTCTTTCATCTGTAGCACATGTGTCCAGGGAAGGACTGAAAAACAAGAGCAGGGATCTCAGTATTTAAACGTGTTTTATCTTGGTACTTCTTAAAAAGAGCTGAGGGAATGGAAAACATTCAGGGTCTTGTTCTATTTTCTCCATTCATAGAGGTAAACCCTAAGAGTGTAGCAAGGGAGCTCAAGACATAGGCATGTGAATAATTCAGACTCTTTCTTTTTCCAAAGGATGCTGCACCTCAGCAGAGCCAGAGTCTTTTCCCTCTGAAGGACGGTGATGTTAGTGGGTATTTGCAATTGACCTCAGTAGCAGTGAGTGTGAGATTTTAGTTAAAAAGAGTTCAGACCTCACTTATTCTGTAATATATAACACATGCATGCACCTAGGTACATACACGGAAAAAATTTCATATACACATACATTAAATTATTTTACAAGTATTTCTTAATTATAAGAGATGAGAAAAGATTAAAGACCTTTTCTCTGCTGTCCTTAAAAGCCTCAGCTTTAACCAAATAACATGTTATGATCCAACATCAGAGACCAAAGATATTTCTGGAAGTAGACATACATCTCCACTGAAATTTTATTAAAAACCCACTCTATTTGTCCAGGGATATTATTTGTTTATTTCTTGAAATACAGATATTGTTCTAACCCCCACAAAAATTAGCTCATAAAAGTGGTAATAACAACTCTTGGACAACCTTAAACAGTGTTTGATCTGGGAACAATTCCAGGAAGTGGTTGCCATTTGTGTTTCTTGCTCTAAGCGTAGGAGGGGAGGAAAAAAACCTTTCAATTTCTGGATTTTAACCTCATCCCCAAAACTTCTCCACTTTTTCTCAATGCAACCAGTGACATCTGTGTGAAGTGAGCAAAAAAAGTGCCTCTTTGGGGCAGGCCATGCCTGTGCTCCCCTGGCTGTGCTTTACAGCCACAGGTAAGGTGCTGTGCAGGGTGCGCGAGAGAAGAGATGTACTCCCAGGGGATGGACAGCTTTGAAACTCAGCTCTAAAGGTTTATTTTCAGCACAGCTACTCCTTTTGAGCTCACAAACACTCCCACAGAAACTTCTAGTGCCTAATGGGTCAGTTCTGAGGATCAACCAGATGAACAGGTGTTTGGTGGGGAGGAGAGGCTGATGAGGTACTGTCAAATCACCCTAATGAGCTTTCATGGGCCCCCACTGGCCCTGTGAAAGTGGCTTGTTAGAGTAGGGAAGAGGAATCTGGAAGAGGGAAAGTGTGGTAGCAAAGTCCTGACTCAGATCTTGCTCACTTGCTGACCAAGTATTAAGGTAATCTTCCTTTTTTTCCCCCTGGGAATTAGGAAGTGTTTTTTAGTAGATCTATAAATAAGATACCGAGGGAAAGTGCCTGCTCCAAGCTTTGGGAATGGTTCTTTGAGAGATGGTTTTGAAGCATCTTAAAATAACAGGCTTTACATCAAATTTAAAATACCTGCACCTTTGAGATATTTAAAATCTGGCACAAAGTTCGTTAGCTGAGTCTGAAAACTTTGCTGCATCTCCCTGCAACCAAATGTGTCTTCAAAAATTACTAACTGCATTACTTCTCCTACTTACACTAGCATCCTCAGCTGCAGTGGGTCCTTAACTGATTTAAAATGTGAAAGTCAGCTTTACAGATAGAGGTATAAGAAGAACTTTATCCTTAAACATCATCTTAAATTTGGAAGAACAAAGTGTGATCCAGTGAAAGCATCTAATCCATAATTAAGTTGTTTATTATGTTTAAAGTTGTTCAGAGGCCTTCTTTATTTGCTTGAGTGAAAAATCTCAGTATCTGAGTCTGAAGGCCAAAAACTTGTATGCAAGGCAGCTTAATTTAGCTGAGAAGATGAAGGTCAGACACAAGTGCACTAATCTGTCTGCTTTGCACCACTTCAGTTACACCCACAAGAGATGAGGGAGTCTGATTTAACCAGCTGCTGAAGGTTGAACCCAGGGAGTTCATGATCCATGTCGGCAATCTCTCAGTACAGTATAACCCCTCAAACTGCCTTGAGAGTGCTTCACGTATTTGTTATGGTTGGGTCAGCTGGGAGAAAGCCAGTGGAAATCAACATGTTCAGATGCATAAGAAAAAGAATGGAAAATTTATACTCATAAGAGAAATTAATGATTTTGCACTCATTGCTGAGAAAGGGTATTACAGGGCTGGGAGCATCACAGCAGTGCAATAGAAGTTATTAGAGGCAAGGAAGAATCCTCCTGTAAAGTGAATGTGAAAAATTAAATACCTTTTACCTGAAAAAGAAGGCTTGGGTAAGAACAAGCTTTTACTAAAGCACATATTATGAGAAATGAAACAGCAGATGTAAGTCAGAAAATACCTATCTCCCTTTCACCTACAATGAGAGGCAGTAACTTTCAGTGAAACTAAAAAGTGAAAAATTCAGCATGCTGGAAATAATTTTAACTTCTTAAAATTATATTCAAGACCGTAAGTTTTAGCATAGACCAACAACTCTTAGGAGACACATAGATGCCTCACAAATAAATGTTGGGGAAAAAAAGAGGGGACAGTACTTAAAAATGATCAAATCTCATGTTTCACTGTGGAAATAGTCTTTACCTACTGGAGGCTGAGATTTCGTCTCTATATAAAACACTAACTGTGTTCTGATCCCTTTCTTGCACCGGGCTGATTCACACAGAATAGCTAGTGTCCAAACTGTTAAACTTTCTTTCACCCCAAAAGATGGGGACGGCATCAGACTGCCTGTTAGGAATGGTCCCTGACCCTAGTGTCTCCTCCACTGTGCCTGGGAATCATCAGGGAGTTGGCCCGTGACAAAGTTCTACCAGTTCTGCTTTTGCAGTTTCACAGCTCTGGTGCCCAGGATCATTCCCTGGCTCTAACTGATGACAATAAGACACCACGTCATGCAGGACAAATTACCCCTCAGCAGCCTGTTGTGTGTCTCTCTCCCTGGAAGTCTCTGTTGCTAGTTTCTTGGAAACTAAGAGGATGTAGGAATGGTATGAAACCATTGCGTTCCTGATTTCCCACGTGAACACTTATTCCCAGCTCCCTTCTGATTAGAGGCTGCTGCTGAAACTCACTGCCACAGCAAAGCAACTTCTGATCTCCGAGGAAGGACCAGGATCTGCTTACATGCCTTAGTCCTACAGCCTTAACAGACTGGCAGATTAGTCTGCTTTGACAGCTGATGATTTATCCTTCTATTATTAGATGTGTTATTTCAAGACAGAGTGAAAAGATGGCATCAGGTAACAGAAATGACTGTTATCTATCTTCCTGCCATTTTGAACATAATTATAAAAAATAGAAACAGGCAAGTAGTACATTAATTATAACTGAAGCCTGAATGCATAACTGAATGTAATTAATTTAACTTCCAAGGTTATTGTGAGTCTGCCCAAGGCCTTCCCTAGCTTTGTGGACTCTCCTCATCTGCTGTGCAACTAACCTCAACACATCCGTGAACCAGAAGGGAGTTGTTGCCTCATTTTAATGAGTGTTGAGGCAAAAGAGTATGACCAGATTATTTACAATATTTAGGATAGGATTAGACTCTTAGAATTGTTACAAACCTGACACTTATCTCCACGTGCAGGACAGTGGCCCCAGATCCTAGACAAATGCCCAGTGCCTCTAGAAAACCTGAAATAAGGTCACCAATTTTAATTTTGAGGTGTTCAAAATGTGCTAATTTTGGCTTAGATCCAGAGTCACTGTGCAGGGCACTCTTGAACTACATAGCTGATGGAAAGTGTGTGTCCTCCACTGAGAAGTTCTGCTACCTTGAAATCAATTGAGACAGCTTCAAAATTCCTTCCTCCTACTACACAAGGATAGGTCAAACTTGGTCTGTTATCCTAGAGCTTCCAAAGTGCTCAGCTCCTGCTGTGGCATAAACCTGGCCAGATTTCATATCCAGAGCTGACACCCACTCTGATGATTTTACAGGTGACTTCAGTCTATGAAAAGCAGCCAGATGTTGGAGTGCTGAGCTCTTTGGCACATCTGGCCATCAGCATCAGGTGGTCTCAAGGTATCTTCTTGTTACTCCTCTGTTTTGGTTCCATTACCTCCATGTTTAGCAAAGAACTGAGAGATAGTCATCTCCCTACATTTCTCCTGCATTGCTTTTTGCAGGATATAGGCTTAGATCAAACAGGAGACAATAAACTCTGGTCTGCAAGTTATCAGATCACCAAAGGTGATGTAACTGGTCTGTGCAAACTACTGTGTCAATGGGAGATTAGATTATTGTGCCTTTCATAACCCTCAGCAGGGAAAAGAAATCTGCTTTATTGCACTAGCTTACTGCTTTGATGGTTTATGTCCCAAGGGCCTCTGTTCTAACTTTTTCTCAATCTTCCATATCTTCAAAATATCATTTTATCTTTTTCCATCTATTTCACAGATCAAGTGGAGCTGAAATTATCCCTTCACCTTCTGTCACCCAACCAAATTCCATCACTGCTAAAATCCACTGACAGCTCTGACAAGGCAGGTAAGTAATGAACAGGACATTGATTGAGCTGTAAAGCAAACAAAGTACAATGCCTCCTTCTCATATGAGTAAAGCTTTCTCATCTGTCATGGAATGAAGACTTAAGAAATTTAATTGGTCTTGAATAAAGTGAGAAAGTCATCGCCAAATTCAGCCTGAACTTACCCACACTCATAGGGCATTTTGCACACACATTGTGACTGATGCACTTTCTCCCATGGCTGACATTTAGGCTCTGTCACTTCTGGTTTCACACTGGGCACTGAAGTAGAAGAACACAGACAGTGCTATTAAGGGTCAGAAAAACAAGGGCTATTAAAGGTCTACTCAGAAATTATTCTATCAGTTGAGCTTAAAAGGCTTTGCATTATACAACTGTGACAAAGTCCCATCCTGCATGTTCATTAAAAGTATCTACTGCGTAGAAGGAATCAACACTATTAAAAAGTGTTGATTCACTATTAAAAAGATTATCATGATACACTTTGCAAAGTTACTGTTCAGTAATTTATCCACAGGTCATGAGCCAGATGGAAAGAGACAAGTACTATGTTCAAACATTCATCTAATTTCTGCAGCAGCTGCTTGTCTCTGCTACACTTAGCAGTGCTGAATCACAGCTGGCAACAGCTTTATCATTAGGTTTCAGAGTTGCTGGCTTCACTATAGTTAGTAGAAAAGCCAAGGCTCTGAAATCCTATGTAGAAATGTGAACCTGAGTATCTTTATGCACTGATGGTAATGAAAACTATAAGTTCCATCCTTAGTCCTCAATCTGCACTGACTCTAACCACAAAAGCAGTAGTCATTCTTGGAAAGTTTTCATGATTACACAAGTACTGGTCTTTGAGTGTCGAGTTGTATTCCAAGCTTGAAAATGAAATAAGCCTTTGCTAAACTTTCCTCGGGAGATTTCGGTAGCAAGTAATGGCGAAACTTTGCTAAATCCAAATGGACACACTTTCTGAGAAAGTTTTATCCTGATTTCTGTTTTAGATTACGTGTCTGTAGTTTTCTACTTTAACATAAAAATTTAATACTGTTGAACATTGTGGCCTTTAAGAAAAAATCTTCCTTGTGGATTAAGATTTGCCAAGCAAAACAAACAGGCAGAAATTGCCAGAGAAGAAAAAAAAAAAAAAGACTTGCAGTGCATTGCGATACAGACAGTAGGCATAATCCTCTCTTCTTGCAGAGAGGAAATTTCCACCAAAAATCACTTCATTGTGTTCGTCCTTGGGGCCATTGGTTATATACTTGACTGTTACTGGCACTATTGGTGACTAAATACTTTCATCCAAAGGTATGTGTCCCACTATGTGTGTGTACACATATCGTCAGTAGTCATCAAGTTGTGCCCTTCTCTGCCATCAGAGACTGTGCGCATTGAACAGCTTCCAGACAGAAACGCCATATCTCGAAAGTGCAATTCATATCATGGTGGTTTTGTACAACATCAGTGGAAAGCAAAGTATACTTGGGTGGCAGAACACACAGCATACATCCCAGGAAGTACCTTAAAATACTGTAAGTGACAATACTTGATAGTCACAGGGGGGTGAGAAGCAAAAGGAAACCTCACAAGAAGTGAGGCATCTTGTTTGAACAGCCCACAGAAACACATGCTCATATTTTCTGTGCTTTCTGCTGGTGATATGAGTATGGCTTCTCCTACTACATCAGCCACAGCTCTGTCTATATCTTATCTACATCAGCCACAGTCTGTCCAGGAAAAAAACTCCTGCACTGTACTCAGAGAACTGCAATGGCTTACCTGGTTCCTTGCACCGGATACTCTTCATGTCGGGAGACCACTTGAGACTGGGCTCACATAAAATGGAGCGTGCCCCTTCTAACTGCATGCCATGTGGGCAAGACAGAGTTATTCTCTCACCAATCTCATATGCAGCTTTCCATGGCTCTCCTTGCAAACCTCCCTCCAGGTCGGGCAAAAGACAAGCCGTTTCTAAGGATTGAAGCATTTGAGATAGTCACAGTGAATCAGTGGATTGCAGAAAGCAGTCACACATTTTATCTTCTCAAATTCCTTAACAAATTGAATGGTATGATTAGTTGATTTTCCTGTAGAAACACATCAATCATGTTAACACAGGGTTATGTGACTCATCACACCAGCCAAACATGTGCGATGCCCAGGACAGAGTGATAATATCTTCTCCTACTGCCTGCAGGTCCAGCCCTAGCTTGAAGAGGGCTTCTCTGTTGTTAGGAACCACGCTTCTGTTGAGGGCTTGTACTAAAGTGTAACATCCTAGTAGAGAGAGGTCACACATACAGGACCCTGGTAGACCAGGCAGTGATACACAAAGAGATGGCATTTAAACAGCATGGATTAACATCTGTGGGCAGTCAGTCCTGGCTGGAAGGAGGAAAGGATGCTTTTAAATTCTGAAAACTCTCAAGTCTACCTGATCACGCCGAAAGTTGACTGGCAGATAAAATGTGTAGGGGAAATGAAGAAACCCTAATGGTTACTAACTGGCTTAAGAGGAAAACAGTGAAGTGGGAAGATATCCAAGATGTGAAACGATCCTTGGAGTTGTGTTCTTATGACAAGGTGGTTATTTGAGAACTTTGTGGTTCAAATGGGCCCAGTACTGCCCTTTGGACCTCTTCCTCAGTTTGCTTTAGACATAGACTCATCCCCATGGTTCTTGGATATAGCCACAGGACTGAATTAATCAACAAAATTTGCTTCCACAGGAAGCAATTCCTGAATTGGAATTTAGTCTCCATCACTTTCAGCCTTACATAAAAACAGACTTTATGGGCATGTTTCTATTTCAGTATTACAATATCTGGATTCAAAGTAAAAGTCAGTTTAGACCTGATTACATCTAGGGAACTGGGAAATGCAGCTGTTTATTTTTCTGCTGTTAATGTTGGAAAACAGACATTCAGAGGTGTTTCCCTGGAATTCAGGAATAGAGTTTTATTTCAAAACAAGAATCAATAAGATATACCCTGGCAATGCTTGTCTCCAACTTGCCACTGTAAATTACTGCCACACTTAGCAACGGGATCGCCAACAAGAGAATATCCATGTTTGCAAGCATAAACAATGTTTTTCCCAACAGGATAAGAGTTTTCAGCATTCTGAAAGAAAAGGAACAGGTGAAATTTTGGATATACAATCTAAGAATTGTCAGCAGGGTTCAACTCCCTTTAATTCTGGGATGCTGAGGAGAGTGAGAAGCATTAAAGTCATTCTACAACACACTAATCTGGAATATTGGGGGCAATTATATCTGGAATATATTATATTATATCTGGAATATCTGGAATATTGGGGGCAATTCTGGTTACCAAGAACCAGTAAATGTGATCAAAATGGAGAAAATGCTACAAGTTAGCTGGTAGAATACAGGATATTCAGACTATCTTAACTTAGCAAAGGGAGGGTTAAAGTGGAAGGTACCCTGTGACAAGGCTCTGGGAGCAGTATGTCCGTGAGGGACCAGAACTCTCCTGCCAGTGTATTAACTGATTGCAAATATGGCATTAGAAGGGGAACATAAGCTCTTCAACAGCCTTCTGGGGGGATCAGTGGAGGGTGTATTCTTAGGATGGCACGTTATCAGCTTGCTAAATGTTATTGTGATACGGTCACTCAGAAAAGCTGGACTTGAAGACACAGGTCTTTTCTCATTTTCTATCCCACTCTCTTCTAAGGAGAGATTTTTTGAAAAATTGAAACTACTCCACAAATTGCAGGGTTTTACCTTTACTTTGTGAACCAAAAAATCAATATGGGAGACAACTATTGATTATCAAGAAAAAATCACTGGCAAAAGAAGGCGCACAAATTTTGGATCTCGCCTCAGGTTGCAGTTGTACAGAGACAACTAATGGATTTTGAACTAATCCTTTTATCTATTTATTGAGCAAAAAGACTCTAGACAGCCTCTTAACATGGAGAAGACATAATCCATGCTTCCAAGGGAGGAATTTAGTCTCCCTTGTTAAATGGGCCCAAGTTACAGTCAGCCACATACTTTGCCAGATCATTGTCTCACCAGGGAACAAAAAGTTGAAGTGTAATGGCGAGTTATGGGGTATAGAGTGAAGATTCCTAAAATCTGTTTATAATTTTGCTATGGACTTGCTGGATGACCTTGGACAGTTTACTATCTGTGTTGTTTTTTCTCTAGTTTCCTATGCTTTAATATGTAACTTATGTGTCACAGAAATTTTTTAATATGTTTATAGGATAAAGGACAAGTCGATTACTTTTCTTGGTAGGTACTATGGTCCAGAAAAGTAAAGATTTTGTTCTGGTTTTGGGGGGGGGGGCTTATTATTATTATTTTATTTATTTATAAGAAGAATTCTTGTCTAATGTCATGTAAACTTCAGCCAGGAAGAAATGCTGAGAGAGCTGCTATACAGTATCTCTGAATTTAATCTTACCAAGATAAATACAAATTTGCAAGTGAATATCTGTATTAACTGTACTAGAGACACTGCAGGTAGGGATCGGACAGATAATAGAGTACTAGAAATAACTTACTTGAACAAATCCATTTTCCAAGAGAGGAGGAGGTGAACAGAATTCTGTAGGAGTTATGGATAAATCAAAACAGTGTGGCTCAATCAAGCTATGAAGCAAATCAAAGTATGATTTAGTTTGAATTTAATCTCCCTTTCTTTCAAAATTCTACACTTTCTAGTGAAACCCATTTTCAAGACTATTATGCATCCCATTTACATCACAATTATACTTAAGTCAGGCACTGCCAGGCTATCTGAAAGAGTGCTAAGTAGAATGGTGTCAAGTTTACTGGCTTTTACCCCATTTTCTAGTCTTGCCTTGTATCAGATTCACAGCTTCTGAATTTCATTTTCTTTCAACTTAAATATGAAAGCTCAGTAAGTGATCTGCTCCATGAATTCAATAGCTTATGCACTCTTCTGACATAAATTTTTAAATCTTCCTGCAATCATGCTCCAAATGTTTTTGGTTTTTTTTTCAGCTTACTGAAAATGTTGCAACTCTTCATCTTCACATGGTCTGCTTTCACGCTGCTCTCCTATGCAGGCTTTCCCACCGCCTCGCGGGGAGGGGTTGTTGCAGGCTCTGCTCCGCGATTTCCTTCCCCCTGAACAAGGACTCCAGGAAGACCAACAGCTCCAGCGTCCATCAACAACACCTATGCAATGTTTGGGAATATTTCACATTAAAACATTTTGCAGGTTTGTGATATAAGACAAAAAAAAAAAAAAAAGCATGTGCTGTTCAGATCTAATGATGATCCAAACTGTGACCTTATAAAGAATTCCAGATTGCAATGATCTAATCTTACCTAAACTCATATTTTACACAAGTATAATTCTATGGAGTCTGTCAATTAGCTATTTTTGTATTCTCTTAGACTCTGATAGCTGATATAAATAATTAAAAAAATAAAGTGCAAAAGTTTTTGACATTATTGATATTTATTCATTTAGTATATAAACTTATTTACAGAAGGTTACATTTTGAGTGGCTAGTATTGTCTGCTGCATTTAACAATAATAATAATTAAAAAAAAAAAACGTTCTTTGTTAAGTATTGTTTGGACACATCAAGCAAAGGCTCAGGCTCAGCACGACTGTATGTCTGCAGCAACATCTGACCCAAGCAGCCCCTACACATCAGCTCCTCACGGAGGTGTGCAGTGGGACAAGCGGATTCTGGAAGGAGGAGAGCATGCTTCGCTGTTTCTAAACTCTCATAAGTTTAAAGAGCACTGACCTGGCTGATCTTGCACAAGAGTTCCCAGCTCACAGGCTGCTCCAAAGGTGTAAGGCTTGCAGTAACACACACACCGAGTTCCTTCCACAGCCGGCTCACCACCGTTCTGGCAAGGCTGACATTTGCAGGGATCATTTTCAGCCATGTATTCTTCAATGGCTTGTTTCAGGTAATGCTTTTTGACTGAGGAGCAGGGTACTTCCTTTACCAGCTCGTATAATGGTGTTAGCTGCACACAGTAGAGAAATATTTATATTAAATAGTTATAGTTGGGATATAAGAGTTTATGAGCACATTTTTTAATGTAAAATAATTTGTCAAGTATGTTCCTGTGATGCTCCAGCACATGAGAGTTGACAGGTGCTCTGATTTATGAGATAGCCAGCTAAAATCTTATGTTAGTATTTAAAGTTAGCCTTTTTCTGAAAGGGAAACAGCATCCCTTAAAGCTAGTGGTAGATTAGTCATGTTTAAAAATATTTGAGCTTTGAGATTACGCTTGAGATAAAAGTGTAACACAGACTACCAATGTATAGCAATCTGAATCCTCACCCAGCTATTTCCAGCTGGAGAAGCTGGACATTTAAACAACACATTATGGTATTTCATTGAACTGTGACTGAAGGTAACAATAAGCAAAAACTTTTTACGTTCCTATTATCTATTTTCACAGAATGACAGAATGATATGGGGTTGGAAGGCACCTCTGGAGATCGTCTAGTCCAACCCCCCTGCCACGGCAGGGCCACCTAGAGCAGCTTGCACAGGAGCATGTCCAGGAGGGATTTGAAGACTCCACCACCTCTCTGAGCAGCCTGTTCCAGTGCTCTGTCACCCTCAAAGTAAAGAAGTTCGTCCTCATGTTTAGGTGGAACTTTCTATGTTCAAGTTTACGTCCATTACCTCTTGTCCTGTCACCGGGCACCACTGAAAAAAAGACTGGCCCCATCCTCTTGACACCTGCCCTTTAAGTACTTATAGGCGTTGATCAGTTTCCCCCTCCAGACTAAAAAGACCCAAGTCCCTCAGCCTTTCCTCTTAAGAGAGATGTTCTAGTCCCCTAATCATCTTTGTAGCTCTTTGCTGTACTCTCTCCAGCAGTTCTCTGTCCTTCTTGAACTGGGGAGCCCAGAACTGGACACAGTGCTCCAGATGTGGGCTCACCAGGGCAGAGTAGAGGGGCAGGATAACCTCCCTCGACCTGCTGGCCACACTCTTCTTGGTGCACCCCAGGATGTCATTGGCCTTCTTGGCCACAAAAGCACATTGCTGGCTCATGGTCATCCTGTTGTTCACCAGGACTTCCAGCTCTCTCTCTGCAGAGCTGCTCTCCAGCAGGTTGCTGCATAGGGTTATTTCTCCCCAGGTGCAGCACCCTACACTTGCCATTGTTGAAGTTCATCAGGTTCCTCTCTGCCCCACTCTGCACTCTGTCCAGGTCTCACTGTATGGCGGCACAGCCTTCTGGTGTTTCATCCACCCATCCCAGTTTTGTATCATCAGCAAACTTGCTGAAGGTACATTCCATCCCTTCATCCAGATCATCGATGAATATATTGAAGAGCACTGGACCCAGTACTGACCCCTGGGGAACACCACTTGTTACGGACCTCCAACTACATTCTGTGCCCCTAATCACAACCCTCTGAGCTCTGTCTTTCAGCCGGTTTTCAGTCCACCTCACTGTCCATTCAGCTAACCCATACTTCCTGAGCTTACCTATGAGGATGCTGTAGAAGACAGTGTCAATTATTATATTCTGTGCTTTTACATTTCATTGAAAACTTTCTGACAGAGATCTTTGTGGTTTATACCATTCTTCAGTGTGTGGAAGACTTAGGCAAGGTAGCAGGGAATATGGTCATGCCCAATTTAGAAGCGTTTGGCTTCCAGAACCTCCAGTTATGCCAAACTTACGGATGCAGAGAGAAGGAGAGGGATAAAAGGGGTACGCAGAAGTTAGCAAGCTGAGTGGAAGCCACACAGACCTGCCAATCCGCATTTTAGGAAAGGAGTTATCTGAAATCCAGGCTTTCTCCAGTGCTAGGGTGACCCTCTCTTCTTAAGCAGAACTTCAATAAAGTCACTGAAGGTTTGTAAGATTGTAGGTATTGATCTGCCAAAGGACCTAGACTTATGATACAGCTGATCAAGTTAATGGAATTTTCTTCCTGTGCATTATTTTTTCTCTTTTAAAAAGTGATCTGAAAACAAAATGATTGCAGACTACAGCTTGATTAACCACCAGCTGTATCTTAATCATTTCTCCCCTTGGGGTGATCCCATCTGCTCATGTCTGCTTCAGAAAAATAGCCTTACCTTTTGTTTAATTATGCTGGGATAGTCTGTCACTGATCCGGCCCAAGAGGAGTATCTCTGACTGTTACCAGCAGGATTATTCAGCTCTAGATAACTAAGGCCAGCAACAGTACGTGGGTTTCCTCCTTCTACGTAGGGGTTTCCTTTAATCTTATTACCACTGCTTCCTGTAGATTCAGGATGGGAAACACAGAAAATAGCAGCATTGCTATATTTACAAATGGAAATGGAAACAATACATGGAAAAACTATACTGGCAATCAGTGAAAGGACTCATCAGTGCAAATCAACTGTCTGTGCCTGGATCAAGAGCTTGCTAATACACGGATAATATATAAGAAGTAGCTGGATTTGCAGGTGTCTTGGCAGCCTTGACTTAGACTGTCCAGAAAAGTACTAGTTACTGGGAAAGCATTAGCAATGATTGATGGGTGTTGGAGATCCTTTTAAAGTAGGCACTTGGCGTCTGGGCTCAGTGTGTTAAGAGTTCAACAAAGCTATCAACACCAGCTCCTCATTGTGACAGCTATGTAGAAGGAGGTCAAAGCTGGAGACATGTCAACTGAACAAGTCACTGTGGAACACCTACCTGAAGAACTCCGTAGCAGTTCATCCAGTTTGGAGCACTTTACTTCCTTCTTTTTCACAAAGAAGAAGTTCCAGCCTGATTCGGTGCACTCGTACATGTCTTTTATGCTCATACCTGTGGATAATTGATCCATTAGCAACACTGTACACAGAAAGTGTATTAGAGTAATTTCCAGATTTCCCATTGGCTTGATATGTGTTTTGGAAAGAAAAGAAGCATGAAGTATTAAGACTAAATTAGAGGGCAACTAACTAGCACATCCTGTGGGAAGGTCCACATGTTGCTAAAACCTATGGATAGAGGCTGAGAATTGGGAGGTGTATAGGGAAAAAGTTTGTTTCTTTCATCTTTTTTCTGAGCAATCCCTAATCCTACAACACTGCTCCCCACTGAGTACAATCATACATGTCACTCTAGTGTTTGCTGTGTTTGTAACTTATTCTGCTTTACACAATTTTGCCCAACCTTCATCTCCAAGTAACTTCTAAGCTTTAACATTATTCAAGAATTAAACTGGCAGCAGAATTCAAGTTTAGCCTGATGACATCCTGAACCAACTATCAAAACTGCTACCCTGAGCACTGCAGGTCACAGATGTGGACCTAGAACTAAATGTGATTTGAGCACTTTTCTAATCGTCTTTATTTTCGCTGTGAAGAGAATGTGGTGACTAGTAGAAGTCTCTTGCTTGAGTTTAGATATTAGCTGGGACAACATGCAAAGAAATTTTACTTCTTATTTATTCACTTTGTTTCTTGTAACAAATACTCTAGTACTCTACCTTCTTCTTTCATTTTGTCAGTATCCATATAAAAAAGAAGTTTGTAATGTCCTCCTAGAGATCCAGAGTGTATGAAATGAGTCCCAAAATGTTCAATAAATCTTCGGTAGACGTTGTAGTCATAGATGACCGGAAGGTTGGCCAGTTCCTTCCAGAAGGGCTCCGCAAGAGTGAGAAAGTCTGGGCGGTTGTTAATAAACTGAGCAACTTCCACACTGTTCTCAATAACCATCAGCTGCTTACTCTGGGGGAAAGAAGAGATGTCAATCGTGCTCCATGTCACTATTAGGGTGGTTTCTACTAGCCAGATGATGACATGCACACTATATTGGCTACTAACCAACAGGTTACAGAGCTGTCAGATATGTCTAAGGGACTCAGTGAATGCAAAAAAAGAATATTCTGAAGTTCAGAAGTATCTTTTGGACTGTCATTTATAAATGCTGTATCGTCTTTCTTTTCCTCATGTGTACCTGAAAGCCAGCATAAGGAAAAATAAGAAGGAAAACGTCACTCTTCAAAGCTAATGGTGGTTTCCAACACCAGCAGCCTAGGGTAGCAGGTTAACAAACATTATCTGAAAGCAAATCAGAGACACTAGAGAAGTTATCTTTGCACCCTGTTTTGTCTAGAGGAGCCTTTCTTTGTAAGAGGCTCTAGCCATTTTGAGAATGCTGCTCCTGAATTAAAAAATACTGTATGTGTATAAAGTAATGGTGACCTCAGCCTCTCAAAGTTGCTTTTGAACTTTGTTATGCTAAGTCTCAAAATACATCATTGTTAGTGTGGTAAAATGAGCTTGTTCTCTGTCAGCTCGGGGGCCATAAAATGTAGAAATTTTTTACTTGATTTTATTTGCTATAAGACAGATATTATACTTCATAATTGGAGTTACTCTCAAATTATTTATCTAATGCTATTTTTTAAAAAGTCAAAGGCATATGCACCGTGACCTCCTGGCTGTTTAAGACACCAGATCTCTCTCTGAAAGGAGTTCTACTAGTGAAAAGTGTATTATAAAATAGACTAGCTTTAAGCACAGAATTATTTCCATATTTTTGTTCCAAGCTACTGACAGAGGTAATGGAAGAAAAAAAGTGCAGTAAATCATTAGAAGAAAATGGAAAAAGATTAATCAATTAGGATAAAAATATTATGTTTTTCTTCCTCAAACAGGGAGGAAAACAACTAGTAAATAAATAAATTACTAATAAAGAGGTAAAATGGAGAAAGTAAAAATAGCAGCCAACCCTTCATAATTTATAGTCACATAGTGGTCTCTTTGTATAGGTTTTATGTGGATTTTTTTCCTATCATGCACTTTTTGCCAAAAATATATAGATAAAATGAATATTTGCATCTCACTATAAAAGCATATGATAAACATGGTGAAAATGTTTATGCAAATTACTAAGCCACAGTGACTACTTATACCTACCTTTTGACTCTGTTGTAGAAAATTATTATGTATATTTCTGTGTCCACTGTTTGATTTCTCCCTGTGCTCTGTTTGTTTCATATAAGACCAGCTGCTGTTGAAAAACTCATAACTGAAATCATTCTGAATTTTAACCTAGAAGATGAAAGATAGAATTCTGTATAAAAAGCTCCATGAAGGATATTAAAAATGATAACTTAGAGAGTAGAGGAAATCTTTCCTGATGCAAAAAATAATCCAATGTGTTTTTCAGGCTGAATCCATTTCAGGTTTCATATAAAGTACTGAACACTATTGGAAAAGCATTACATATATATACTTTTAATATATTTGTATATTAAGTATTTACACTATAAAGTAAAGTACAATAAGGATTGGTTGGCATGCTTTTTGATAAATGTGAGACAAACCAAATCTCTGAGACAGTGACTTCAAACAAGGCATAGCTCTGGAAGATCTCCACAAAGCACCCCAAAGCCCTATGCACATAAGATTTCTTGGGGTGATTCACTACTTATGCTAAGGAGTTGGCTTTACACCCAGACTGTGTAGAATTAGAAATCTGTGAAATTAGAAAACTGTGAGAGAATTAGAAATGACATCCAAAGAAACATATTTTTTTCCTTCCATTTTAGCAAGACTGCTAAAGATTACACCAGTTTGTATTTCAAAATAATAAGTGACTGTAGAGAGGGAACAGGTGATGTTTAGCTGTGTTTAGGGAAACCTAACTGCCAATAGACCCTGGAAGTTTTGCATCATTCTCCTAGTTTGAATCATGAGTCTAAATATAATGCTGTATTTAATGGATACATACCTGGAAAGTGTAAGCAAGAACACTTTCACTCAGCCTGTAGTATTGTCTCCCATCGCCACTAAAGACCTTTCTGCATTGTCCTCCAAAGCTTTTTGTATGAATGACTCTTCCCCGAGTCTCACCAGTAATGGCATCAAAGCTACAAGAAGAAATACATGAAAGATCATTAAGACAGAAAAGTAGCAAATTATTTTACAGAAGGTGCAGAGCCATTATAGCTGAATGCTGCATCTGCAGATTAAGACCATGAACCGATTTAATCAAGAAAAAGAGGTATCAACTGATAGACTTCTATACCTGAAGAACTGCAGCGTGTACATCATTTTACAATGTGGAAAACAAAATGTTGCTGTTGATTTATTAACAAAAATGAACACATATCAATATCTGTTTACACTTAGATATTCATATTTATCACAATGTGATTTATTAAGTTTTATTGTTCCAGCAATTAATGCAACACAGAAACAACAGGGCCTCCATTCCAAAATGCCTTTGTGTTATATGTGAATTATATCACATACCAAATGATACAATTATGCTGCAGAAACTTAGGATAATTATTTTGCCAGGTTTCAGATGGGATATATAAACAGAATGAACAAAAAGAATAAGCATTGCTGGCTCATTTTTTCTATCCTGATGATTATGTGTTATTGGTTGATATTCCTTTTCATACATTAAAAGATGCTTTTAAATAGCAGGAATGAAAGATAAAGAGCTATGCTCTTTAGCTGTGCTTCAGGTCAAAGAGCCTGTACATCCTGGCTGCACTGAGCCACTGGTATGATGAAGGCAGTTGTACTGGACACTTTTGTCTATGGAACCTTTTACCATAGCCCCAGGGAGTCTCTCTGTAGAGCCAGAGCTTGTAAATATGGCCAAAATGTAAATGCATTTGGCACCAGTACTACTGAGCGCGGCACAGAACATTACCCTGCTCCTGTAAGTTCTGAATTCGGAGGCGTTTTATCGATATCACATACAGTCATCTTCTCTTCACATCTATCTTCATCTGCACCATCTTCCTCACAATCCTGATCTCCATTGCACACAAGAGATCTGCTGATGCACTGACCTAAATCAGAACAAAATGCATGGGGAAAGAGACCTTTGTTCATTAGAAAATAAATCACGTAAATTCAAAGCAGAAGCCCCATTCATCTACTACTTTAATTAGCTTGTTTGCTCCCACAATGAACAGTCTGTGCCCAGGAGGGCTTGTGATACAACAGTAAATGTAGACATAAAGAAATAGTGTATAGTACACTTGAGGGAACCACTGACATTCAAGGTTTATGATATATTAATAAAACAGTTGACTTTTAGATTTATTTCCCAAGCCTTCATCCTTTGACCCTATCACTTGTGATTAACTGTGATTATCTCACTGGTAGTAGCAAAATATGTTTATCATATTCTTCTGTGATAAACATCTAACTACTGAGGTAATGTGCTTTTTTTGTGAAGGTAATGGAAGCTGCTTGGATACTAGCACTGGCTTAAGGGCCATTAGTTTCCGTGACCTAAGTGATTTCCAAGCCTAGAACAGCTTCAAACAATCACATCTAAGGTTGCGTTCCTTAATTGCCTTCTTGTTATGAAAAAAACTGTACTCTGGGATAAATTAGTAAAGGAGAATGACTTAGAGAGGCTACCAGGGCTACAGCATATTATCTTCAAAGATTTTCAAAGCTCCAGGTGAAATTATAAACGTGCACAATAGGCTGGAAACAAAGGAAACATCCTACTAAATCAGATTTATCACTAGGTCAAGGGTTCTGTAAAGCCATTGCCCATTTGCTAAATTTCAAAGATAACACAGTTACCTTCTTAACTTTATGACCAGAAAATGGTGGAAAAGACCTTGAATGATACCTGAGAAACACCTGAACCGATCACCACAGCCATCCTCTGTTGGGCATCCCCTCGTGGGGGTGCATGGTCTTGTTTCAAAGGCGTCCCCAGAGCAGGGGTTTCCCCCGTATTGGCCGTAAACTGCCACTGTCCGTCTCCGAATCTGAATGCAAATCAAGGGAGATACTAGAAAATCCAGATGAAAATCCAGATGCAAAGCAGGAAGAGTTTACTAGTGTCAAGGCAATGCTACTACTCTACTGCTGTAAGGAAATGAAACATTAGCAGTTTTTCTGAGAATAACCACACTTGGTATTAACACAATATGGTAACAAAGACTAAATTTAATAGATATTTTATCTATAAGGTTTTTAGACTGATGCATAAGTTTGGTTAGTTTGTTCAAAAATCTAATACATAACTGAAACCCAGAGAAAGCTGCTGACACATTTCAATTCTGTTTTACATTTTTAATAGGACCAATCATGCCTGATATGAATCTGCTGAAGTTCTTCAAAGTAAACAATGTAATTAAGGAAGATGATAAAATCTAACATAAAGTGGGCTACTCCTTGCTTCTAAAAAGAATTAGTCTCATGGTGCTTCTTTAATTTTGACTAATCCCTCCCTAATTGATGCAACATCAAAGTAAATGAGAAGGAAAATCAAAAGCAAGTGTCTTGCACATCAATAAACTTGCACTGTAAAAATCATCAACTTGTTTTCATTGAGGATATTACTTTGCGACCAAGTTTTCTTTCCTTAAGATGTGACTCCACTAATGAAAAATCATCGGAATTGGTACAAGCCAGCATCAGGGGAGGAATGTCTCAGTTTAGAGAACAGTTCAATTGAGCTTTTTGGAACTATCATCAAAATAAAAGATATTATATCACATTTTACAACATTAATATCATAGTTTTGAAAAGGAACATAGAGGGACAGGATAGAGGATTTCCGTTCCGATTTCTTTGTCATCTATCCTTCTTGTTCTACTGGGGCTTTTCTCTTGACACCTGACTCGGGGTTTTAAAGACATAGCAACTCCTTAATTACCTTAGCGGAAAAAAGCATATGTTTGTGAAGTCATGAGTACAGAAAAAAATGTATCTGGCTATACCTGTTTTTGAGTACAGCCATCGCACTCGGACCACGCACCAAAAGAATTCCAGCGGCAATGGACTGGAGAAGGGCTGCTCCAACAGTATTTTTTGCATTAAAAAAAAAAAAAGGAAGAATAAAATCATCAGGGATATCCATCCACAAGCATTAGTCCATTAGTGCAAAACTCTCCGAAACAGCAAAGCCAGCCTTCAATAAAAATTAGGGGCAGGAACATGTTCCCTCTAAAGCCATTGGGAATTGTTTGTCATGTGTAAGAGTGAAACCAGTTCCTGCTTGGGCTTTCTGGTCACTGAACAAGAGAAGAAACTATTCACCCAGCCTGAATATCAGCAAGGACTTTGTGCAACCGTATGCCAGCTTCCAAGACCAGCCGCGCACTGCAGAGCAGGGAGAGGTCAGATCCCGTCCTGAGACGGGCAGGGAGCTGCCAAGGGGCACCGTGTGTGTCAGGGTGTGCAGCAGACAGACCTTCCACGGCAGCTCTCCAACACCACCTTTGCAAATGGGGGGCACTAAAGGGTGCAACCTGCCCCCGGGATCGGGGCTGGCCTGGGGTAATCTGCGCTGTGTTTGGCGGGGGTGTGTTGCTGAGGCCCCCACCACCCCTGTCTGCTCTCCTCCCAGGGGACAGCTGGCTCCTCTGGGCAGAGGTAAGGGACACCGTGATGCCTCACTCTTGTCACCACTGATGGCAGCGGCAGCACTCACGCCAAACAGGGCCTCCTCCCCTGGGAAATATATCTGAGGATCCCTTTAAGCCCTGTACTCTGTCATGCACCAGAAGTTGTCTGTCAAATTGTACATGCTTAGTCTTCAGCACGTAATTTACTAAAGAAATATTCACCTGGAAAAAACGGGAAAGAAGCCTGAAACTTCCAGCAACAGGAAAATCCCCAGCACCTGAAAAAAAGAGGAGCAAAAGCAAACTTACTTTGCTTTTCTGCTTTTTCTGTTAGCTCGTGCAACTGTTCTAACTTTCTGCAATCTTTACACAGGTCAGTTCAAGAAAAAAAGGAGCACATCACATTGATATCCCTCAGCTTTGTTGTGCAAGCTGTTGTTTTTTAGTTTTCTTCTTTCTTGCAATATTAAATTTTCAGCTAAGTATTTCTCCATATAAATTAATATTTCATTGCACTTGCCATATTCACTTCATCAGTACAAATTAAGTAAGCAATTGTCTTACCTTCATGTTAGATTAAATACTCAGATATCCAGCAATTACCAGGGAAAATGCACTTCCACTCAATTCAGCAGCCAAAGGAGTCAGTCAGTCTGTCTGCTACTGTACGTCTCCTCTCATTCTGTCTTGCTATTCTGCTTTTCTTTCCCTAAAAAGGCTGAATATTGCCGAGGAATTTTCATCTTAACCCATCTAGTCCTCTCCAGGGACACAGCCTGCTTTGGGAGCTGCTCAGTGTTTTTAAGACATATAAATCAAGGCTTGGATGTACTGTCTAGGGCTGGCACAAAGTTATGAAGAGCGTTTACTGGAAAAACAATCCTCTTTTCCTTATCTTCTCTTTCACAGTTTCTTTCCTCTGAACAAAACTTTTCAGAGATCCCAGGCCACCTCTGGTGTGACATATACTACACCAGAGCTGAATCCCCATCTTCCATAGGAAAAGCTGATCTAGAATTAAGCTGAGGTTGCCAAGGTTTAATTCTGGTCACAAATCTTCAATGTCCACTTCTGCAATTGTGCTGAATTTTGTGTAGCAGTTCTCACACTGGAAATCAGCTTATGTATCTGAATGTGAGTTTTAGACAATTCTGGCACAGTCGTGCCTGTGTAAAAGACTTCAAAAGGTCATGCACAGGCTAGTTTCAATGACACATCAACAGCTGGCCTTCTGTGGGAATGCTCTTACAGAACTACGAGCACTTCGCTTTCTCTTTCTTCACCCTCCCATGTCCTCTTATTTTTTCTCTTGACTTTTTTCACTTCCCAGAGCTGATCCATTCCCATAACAGCAAGCAAATGCTGGTACTGGGGAAATTTCCATTAATTTATCCTAGTGGAGCTTGGACAAAGCCCTCATGGAAAAGCAGCTCCTCTATCTGAAAACTCTTCAAATACTTCATCTCAGGCACAATATCTGTTCTGAACAGTTTAACACAGCCCTCAGAAAAACAAACATTTGGTGTCACAGCATCCCTATATGGTGACTTTTAAACCCCATACTTTGTTGGCATGGTCTGCTTTCCTTAAGAAGGTGCCTAGATTTCGGGTCTTTTTATTCCATCCATGTGAGGGATGCCTATATCCACTCCTCAGAAGTTACCAACCCCAGAGCCAACTTAGGTAAGCCAGGGCCCGTCTTTGGGACTTTTCACATTTAGCAACTATGAACTTCTCTAATAATGTAATTCACACTCTTTCATTGCTTCTGTACATATTTTATTGCTATTGATTGAAATCCTCATGCTCCTATTAAGTTTTATGACTGATTTGTGCAACATTATCAGTGGTCATTTGGCTATGAAAGAAATGATTAAAACAAAGTCAAGCCCTTTAATAGCTGGCCCAGAATATGGGAACTCTGAAGAATATTTTATCTCTCCAGACATATGTCTTGATCTTGCAGTTAGCTGTTTTAATGGCTTAGATAACAATTTCACTTTTTGTGAGAACATCATTAGCTATAATAATCATCAAGATAAAGATATACTGTAAATTGCTCACACACCAAACATGCAAATAAACATAAAAGAGGCCAAATGCAGCTAGTAAAGAAAGTGTGTGTGTGGGGAGTAATGGGTATCATATTCAAATGAGTTTATATTGATGGAAAGTCTTCTTGCAAGATGCATTTCAGCAGGACAAAAACGTTGCTTTGGCAGATGCTGAATAATAGTCCTTTCAGCACACATTTTCAGGCACCTCAGCCTAAAGACTTTATCTTCTTCCATTTGGAAACAGGATCCTGCTTTTTTATTGATCCTGACTTCAGCAGTAACAAAAGCAAAGAGACTGAACCAAGAAGGTGCAAAAGAGAAGGAGGTTAGAGTTGGACTTGGGTCACTCCTAGGGCTAGTCCACAGGTCCCATGGCCCTTTAGTGGTTTCCAGTGGATGGGTGTTGTCTCATCTACAACAGTGGGACTGTAAATGGTTGATTCATCTTTTGTTTCGTAGGGTACTTATAGTAACCTTTTTCTACTTAGCATTCAGGCTCCTGACTATTTAGATAGTTTCCTACTTTTGTGTGTTATTGATACTCAAGTTATGTACAGTTGCATGACAATATACGTACACTGTAATTTTGTGATGAGGGATTGTGCAGCACCTAGCACCAGTCTGAGTGATAGACACTTCTACAATAACACAAATTATAATAAAAGCCCTGATTGAGGGAGCTCCCCAATTACTTCCCCTGACAGCACAGTAGTGAGGGATAGAGTGTAACCTACTGAGAAGATGGGGCTGATTTTACCTTACTGTTAGTGAAAATGTCAACAATCTACTCACCATTTTGCAGTTAAAAATGCGTTTTATCATAGCAACTTTAAGTTTTTGCTAGACATTTCTACTATCCATTCAGAAATAAACTGTCTTTAGGCTTAAAAATTATGTTTTAGGGAAGCAAAAGAGGAGCAGTTTGAGAGACACAAAGGGTTAGCCATAAGGCAAGACATTTCTTGTCTTGCACCAAATGATAATTCTAGCACAAGAATGACTAATGCAATGCTTCACTTGCTGGGCTAATGATATCCTGCTTGGTCTGGAGACAGCATGAAATGATACTGTCTGTATTCTACTTCACACTAAGGTCAGCCAGAATATAATTATATCAGTGATATTTCCCTGTAGACTTCCATCCTTTTATAGGATTGATGCTAAGGTTACTCAATAGTTTACCAAGCTTTAAATAGTCTTGTGTCTTCATTGTCCAAGTTTATTATGTATTACGGCCCTAAAGACAGTCTGTGCTCTGTGACTGCTGCAAATACTGAGGATCCAGTGACAACTGAGTGGAGAAAGAACATCTTGTCATTATGGTTTTAAATTGTGAAATTGACTTTGAGAGTTTTTGGATATGTTTCTGTTTGCTAATACCATCTAACTTTTTTTTTTTTTCTTCTTTTACGAATGTTAATTGCCTGGTTTGCTCTTAATGTATTTGTTACGTTTCAAGGATTAATGACAATGGCTTGGGATGTGTCTCTATGAAATACGTCAAATAGCATTAATGCTGTGCTGACTGTAATGCAAATGATTTTTTCTCAGGGGACCTTGTAGAAGGATACTGCCTTAGATACCGGAATCCGTATGCTGCAAAATCTACACCAAACAAACAAAGGTGGTGAGTTCTGATTTGAGTGAACTGTGTTGGAAGAGAAGAGAGCGTGTTATTATAATTCAAAGACTGTAACTAAAGATAGATAGTAAATATGAAGCCCATGCACCCTCTGCAAGTTTGCCAATCACGTTAAGCTGTGTGGTGCGGTTGACAGGCTGGAGGGAAGGGACGCCATCTGGAGAAACCTGGACAGACCTGAGAGGTGGGCCTGTGCCAACATCACGAAGTTCAACAAGACCAAGTACAAGGTGCTGCACATGGGTCAGGGCAATCCCAGGCACAAATACAGGCTGGGCAGAGAATATCTGGATACCATCCCTGAGGAGAAGGATTTGGGATTGTTGGTTCATGAGAAGCTCAATATGATCTGGCAATGTGCGCTCGCAGCCCAGAAAGCCAACTGCACCCTGGGGTGCATCAAAAGAAATGTGGCCAGCAGGTCGAGGGAGGCTGGAAAAGCTAAAAGCTAGTTGGAAAGATAAAATGCTTCAAGCCACAAACTTTGAACAAAAATATTTCATCAAAATCCATCTGTCTGCCTCTGAAAATTTCCAAGTATCTTGAAACTGAAACCTAAAAAATGCTTTTCAATAAAAGGAACAACGATTTTTCTCCTATAAAGGAGAGTTAGGGAAGCAAATGAAGGCAAGACTTCAAAGAAACAAATCTTATTAGGATGACTTTTTGAACTACAATATTTTTAGGACCATCTGAAATTCATTAAAATTTTGTCAGCTTACTTGAGAAGTCAGTAATTAACCCTAACTAATACTGTGAAACTTTCTGGAGTGAGCTTTTGTAGATACCTTCCACCTGGAACCAAAGTTCAACAAATAAAATAAGCTTTTGCAAACTTTCAGAGAGACAATGCAGATGCAGAGCATTGTGCAGAAACAGAAATGACACAGCACTGACTTTCGCCCTCCCTGGTTTTGGGTTGGTTCTGCGTACAACAAACATCAGACTGCAATAAATGAAAACACATATCACTAGTAAAAAAGGTCTGATATAATTGCAGATATTCACCTGAGCTCTGGGGAAATTTAGGTGTGCTCAACATCTGTTACTTCTCCTACAACAAGCTTATAAGCCCTTAAAATTGGTGTGATGTCCTTTTTTGAGTTATTCTGGCTTCTGTCTGTACTTGCAATTCAGTTCAAAGAAGCAGCACTGAAGCACAGGGTCAAAGCACTTCAGTAATATATATTTTTTATATTTGACGTAGGTGAATACGTATCTCCCTCTGTGCCCATATTAATGATGTACTTTGTTATTTCCAGATATAAGAGTCTCAGAGAATTTCTGCTGTGCTATTATTGGTATGTACTAATTTTGATTAGTAGGAAAAAAGCAGATTTAAAGTTGTTTAAATTGTAAATATTTTTATCTGGTAGTGGAGACCATATCACTAAATATTGTTGAAAGAATCTGCATTTCTGAAGATGGCACTTGTTCTTACATAACCTGTAAACACATCCCATTCTGTACTTACTTGGATGAAATACTATCATGAGAGTGAGTAAAAAGGATGGTGTTTCTAACATGGATGGAGGTTCTGTGGAACAATTAATAAATAGAAAAAAGTATTCAGCAAACAGCAGACTTCTTAGACCTAGCAAATGGCTTTGAAATTTTTATGAATTATCAAAAAAAAGAGGTAAATACTGATGATTCCAAGGACAGAATGTAAAATACAAGGCTTGTGATAGAAGAAGCCTCCTGTTTCCTCCATTGTGTGGGCTCATGGCAAGAGAGATACACACCTCTGCCCATTTTCTGGTGACCATATGTTGTGACTTCTGAGGTAGAAATGAAGCCAGGGCATGGAAATACTGCCACATCCAAAATTCATCAGCATTTTGTACCCTGAGAAAGGTTTGTGTTCTGTTTTGACTGACATCAATAACAAACTTGTAAAACGGTTGAGAGACTCAGCAGAAAATGTCAATTACTAATATTGTTGCTTTGAGGGTTACTACATTTTATTCTGCTGTTAAAATACAGTAAGATAGAATAAGTAGGCTTGGACTTGTCACAGTTTTGTGCCCTTTTTACAGTGCAACATTCCCTCAGGCATTCTTCTCTTCTCAAGCAGCCACTCTTGAGGCTACTTCTCTCCCTAATGTATGTTCAAACACAGCTGAAAAATATTTCTAATTTACAGCAATTAGTTAACAACCACTAACTAACATGGTAAACCAAATATAAATTGGTAAGTACTGGCATGTTCTCCACCACAAGTGTT